GATAGATAGATAGATAGATAGATAGATAGATAGATAGATAGATAGATAGATAGATAGATAGATAGATAGATAGATAGATAGAATGCTCATCTTACCTCAAGGTAATTATGCACATTCCCATTTCTCTGGAGCTCTTGGAAAGCATCTCTTCCCAAACCCAAGTCTGATACTGAATTTGGCATCTGGTCCACTCACCTCCATCAGCCTCATCTCATCTTTCAGGTCATCATATCGCTCTTCTAGCCGGCTGAATTCTTGGAGCAGATTCTGATACCTCTGCCTTTCGTTGTTCAGGTCTAGGTCCAGTTGCTTTGTCTCCTCCAGATGCTTTTTCTCCATGACCTCTGCAAAGAAAAATCAAAGCAAGACTTCACCCGCTGCTTTCTCTCTACAGGTGAGAAATAGGGATTCCTTCCTTGTTTCCCAGCATTCCCACGTTCAGATCCACAGGCCTACTTAAACACAGAAACTAGTTTTTTAAAAACCCAGACAGTAAATTCCCGAGATGAGCTTACCTGTAATTTCTTTGGCCTGGTTTTGGATGCGGCTATTCAGGTCATCTTTCTCCTCTTTGAGAAGGGTGTTTTGCTCTTTTAGTTCAAGCACCAGCTAAAGAAAGAAGGTTGGAAGGGAAAAACTTGTAATATTCTGACAATGCATTTCTTTCTATGTTTTGGTGAAAAGGACAGATAGGATAAAACTTTTGGGTGTTTTTTAAAGTGTAGCTTTATGGATACTGCTCTACTCAAGCTACATGCTAAAGCCAAGTGGGAAGAGATAGGAGGAAAAGTGTGGACAATGGAACTAATGCAAGCACATGTGCATGTACACACACACACACACACACACACACACACACACCCCATGTTGCTTTCACCATCAATACTTAAAAGAGGTGTGTTTCGGAACCAAACGATTTTACCTTGTCTGTTTCTTGTTTGTAGAGATCCGCCTTTTCTTTGATGGTTTTGTTCTCCGTCTGGATCTGATCCAGCTCTTTCCGCAGCCTCCCGATCTCCTCTTGAAGGCTAATGAGGCGATTGGTGGCATTCTTGGCCTCTTCTTCACTCATCCGAAGCCTCTCTACGTCATTCCGCAGCTTCTCTGTCTCGGAAGTGTAAGTTGCCTCTAAGCTAGTTAGCTTCTCCACCAGGGACCTGGAGTCTCGTGTCTGAACAAAAATCCCAAAGAGGGCAGGTCAATCATCAGAGGACGACAGATACAGGCTAAATATTTATGGATCATCTTTTCCCCTATTAGGAGATGCACACCATCCCATCCCTATTTTTTTCAGTTTGGAAACATAGAAACCTGACAGCAGAAAGACCTAGGGGTCCATCAAGCCTGCCTTTAGAGTATGAAATAAATATATCTCTATCTATCTCTGTATCTCTGTAT